TATAAATAGATGTTGTTAATATGCATGGCGTTTATGGACGTGGGGATATATAGAGGATATATACTAAGGCCGCCAGATATATCCAACATATCCAAAGGGGGCAAGGTTTCCAACACGGCATAATCCACGATCGGGATAAATATATATATATAGAGCACCGTTGGGGATCTCCTGCGATAGAGGTAGATAGAACTTAGAATTAATCTTGCTTATAACTGCTTCCAAAGCTACTTGACCAATAGCCATCTTATTAATTAAGCTTAAGGTACTGTAGCCTTTGGAGAAGTTAAAAGAGATAAGGAGATAAAAGATGTTAGAAACCTAGCTACCCTAATAATAACCCTAGAAAGAACCCTAATAACCCTAGAAATAACCCTAATAACCCTAGCAATAACCCTAGCAATAACCCTAGAGAATTGCATCCTTGATTGACAACGTAATTTCTATTCCACTGACCTGCAACTTAAATAGCATTGAATATGTTTGGTAGAGAGCCAGCATGCGTGATTTCATCCACATCTAACCACTCCTTGCGCTGACCGGGACTTTGGGACGATAATACTGTAACGGGTTAGCGCGGCTGTAGAAAATATACGCTAACCTAATACGGTATTATCGTCCCATAGAACCCTCCATTGTTTAAACCACAATATCTCCACCACTACATGGGCTATGGGAATATGGAATATATCAGTTTAATGCCCAGAGGCTGCTCTATCATCTCATACTAAAATATGTAGATGTTTCTGTATCTGTGGTGTTGGTCTTAGCCTGTCAATGTGGTACTAGAATTGACTTTGACACCACAATTTAACCCCTTCCCGGCGGAATTATCGCTTTTAATTTGGATATGTTGTATTCCATATCCACTACGGCCTACATGCAAAGTTTGAAGTAATGGGGTGGCTGGCTGCCGCAGAAGGGAAGGGAAGAGGGAGCTCGACCGCGACCGGGCCACTGCGGGCACGCGGAGGCGGGAGCGGGAGCACGCACGGGCGGCCAATCAGGGACGGAGAAAATCGGACGGGGGCGCGTCGGACCACGCACTATGTATAACTTGGATAGTTTAACCCTAACCCTATAACCTTCAACGGGCATGTCCAGCGGGTTTGACTTTTAAATGGTTTCATCCCACTGGTTTGGGTCCAACGGGTTAACGGGTTCGTTCAACGGGTTCGACCCCTGAACACCCCTCACTCTAACGCTGACTCTGACCACCTCATCCTCCCACCTAGCCTCTACCCTCACTCTTTGTAACCCTAACTCTGGCCCATTATTGTATGGGATAATGCTCTTTAAAACTCCCATATTTTTGAAACCCCCCCTCTACCTTCTGATATAATCGTCCAGCGTGCTCGACTTCCAACGGGTTGATGGGTTCATCCCAACGTGGTTCGGGTCCAATGGGTGAATGTACTGCTTTGGACGGGGTTTGACATCCAACGGGTGTTGGCTCCAGTCTGTTCGACTAATGATTAGTTTTTTCTGTGTTTAAAATCACTCCATAATGAAGCCCTATCCGGCTCTTTTACGTATTATAGCTTATTTTAATTTACTTTGGTGGAATATTGCCACCGCTGTTGGCACCACTGCGTTAGGCTGGATTGAAAATACACAAATACTAATTTGGGTTCTGGTTGGGGGTGAA